TTCTTTATGTTCATGACAGGTGTTATGTTTATGACAGTGTCATGTCAGTCTTATGCACACCCCTTCAAATAAAGTGTTACCATCAAGATAAATGAGTCATGCAGAGAGTATTTATGTTTTCCTCCACTTCTGCTGAGTGTCCACTCAGTGTGGGTGGAGTTTGCCCACAGGAACGGAAAAGATTCCCGTCAAAAGTTGTATGAACACCCGCTTTCTCGCAGTTTCCTAGTGCAGTAAAGAGAGTAGGGAGAAAGTGGCCTTGTGTGTGTCTGCATGTGCATGTGTGTGTGTGTGGTGTGTTGTGTTTGTGTGTCTGTGGTGAAATATGGTTAATAGCTGCAAGGAAACATATAGAATTGGACATTTTTTAAATCTTTTTTTGCACTTTAACTTGACTGCCGGGTCAAATTGACCTGAACAGTATCGATGTAACTAGGAGACGCAGGGGGGGTGCAGTCGCCTGCTGTTGATGACTTGGAGAAGATGGATTCGTGGCCTGGGGAAAGTGACTTGTATAGAGGGAGCTGAGGCGAACTGTTCTTCATCCCTCCTCCTTTTGTCCCAGTCACATGACTTCTGCTAGTTCTGTTGAACTGTTGGATGGAACTTGGTAAGGGTGAACTGCCGCTTTTTTTCTTATTCATTTTTCTCCTGCTTATTTGTTTAGGGAGGTAAGTCGGTGTCATTTGGTTTTACTTGTTTTTTGTTAGCTTAAATGTGCTCAGACTTGATAGATTCTTTTTGTTTGCTTTGGCATTATAGTTCATGCTGAAGTTGTGATGATGGACCCAAACTCAGAAACGCAGAGACATTGAGTAAATGGAGAAGACAAAATATTACCTTGAACATGTCTTCATATTTCAGGAAGAGGACATTGGAGTCCAAACGATGCTCCCAAAATTCCTGAACATGTTCAAACCAGGAACCGTAAGCCACTGCCGGATGAAAGAAAGAAAACATTGGCAGAGTTAGAGTATGCTAAAATCTAGATGAAACAAAGCATAAAGAAAGTGATAGTAATGAATTATTTTGAGATTGAAAGGTTCTTACATTTATCATTCATGAAGCGCCGACAAAATTCCTGAAAAGTTCCACGGTAGCTCATGGTCCTGAGAGAGCGGTGGAACTGATAGTAGGACACCACCAGGTCTTTAGGGTTCCTGGCCATGTAGATAACCTGAGGAGCCCGGGGCCCAGGACATTAACAATCTTACCTCATTACCAAGAATTGATTTATTGTGATGCTGTAAACCCTAACATAACACAAATATAATTGAAGTAACTTAAATTTATGAAAAAATTGTGGTCACTCGTTTCTATCAACTCAGAATTGTTTTTTGAAGTAATAACACGGTTGTTTTAAGTGCAGCACAAGATCTGGAGCATTTTACAGGGGATATATTATGCAAAACCCACTTTTTTAGTCTGTCCTTTGAGTGAAAAAAATTTACATTTATTCTTTCCCTGTGCTGCATAAACATCTTCATATTCGTTTTAGGTTATTAATTTCTCTATATTGTCCATTTCTCTATATTACATTCTTCTTGTCTATGAAAAATGATAGTATTAAACATGCTGATGAGCATGACTTCCTGCTAATCAGTTCTGTGAATTCGCCAGTTTTTGTTGTTTTGCAGTCCAAGTTTAGTTATGCCGAAGTTGCATATAGACAAGTCCAAATGTTCTTAGCTTGGTCAAAGGTGGGGAACACCCAAACGCCTTTGGGGTTACATACATACACTGTGTTGTACCTTGTCAATCTCAAGTTCCGGATGTTGGAACACTGAGCTACTAGTTGTTTAGCAGTTAGTGTTGACTGGGGATGCCTAACTAGCCATTCCTTCCGCATTCTTTGCATGTAGCCTCTCTGAGTAGGGTTACTTGAGTAGTAGCATTCCAACAGATCCATGTTTTCACCTCATTGAGCTATACAGTCAGCTATTGGGTCAGCCTATTGTAATTGTACTGTTTCTTTTTCTTATTTTTCTTTTCCCAAATGGGGTAATATGATAAAAGCTTTTTGGAGGCTTTTATCATATTCAAAAACTCACCAAACTTGGCGGATGCAAAAAGCCCATGTAAAATTTACGGATATTAAGGTCATCGCAAAAATCAAACAAGAAACGACTCAACGGCGCCACCTAGCAACTTTCAAAAGACCCTCTCCTATGACCTTAGTTCATCATAGAACTAAGGTCATGAAATTTGGTACATTTGTAGAGCTCCCCAAGATGCACAGAAAATACAAGTAATGTCATAGTGCAAGTTAAACTGGAAGTCGGCCATTTTGGATTGAAGTTCCGATTTTGACCCAATTTTGGCCGTTTTACAGCCTTCGCATTTGATTGAACTCCTCCCAGGGATTTCCATCAATCGGCTTCAAACTTGGTCGAATTGTACATAAGACATGGCTGATTAAAAGTTATCACAGGTTTGTGTATTTGTGCTTGCTGAAGGGAAGTTCCCAGGGTCAAACTTCACCTACTCGCTATTAAACACGAAACTGTTATATCTCCTACACAAAAACTCAGAGAGGCACCAAACTTTCAGTGACTGATCACCATCCGACGAACTACAATCAGAATCAGAATCAGAAGAATTTTATTGTCATTGTCAGAAAGACAACGAAATTGCAGTTCCAGTACAACCATCCATTACACAACAACACGAGGGGGTGGGGTAGTGGGATGTGGGGATAGTTGGCTGAGGCCTCGCAGCCCGACGGGCACCACCTTGCAGAGGAAATAGGAAAAATAAGAAAAACATCAGGTAAAGAGAGGGAAAAAAAAGCCCGTCTCACACTCTGCTCTTTGCAGGGCAGAGTTTGAGATGAAGAAAAAAACCTCGGCACCTAAGCACATATAAATACATACAGATCCTTCTAAAAAAATTAGCATATTGTGATAAAGTTAATTATTTTCCATAATGTAATGATAAAAATTAAACTGTCATATTTTAGATTCATTGCACACCAACTGAAATATTTCAGGTCTTTTATAGTTTTAATACTGATGATTTTGGCATACAGCTCATGAAAACCCAAAATCCCTGTCTCAAAAAATTAGCATATTTCATCCGACCAATAAAAGAAATGTGTTTTAATACCAAAAAAGTTAACCTTCAAATAATTATGTTAAGTTATGCATTCAATACTTGGTCAGGAATCCTTTTGCAGCCTTCAATGCGGCGTGGCATGGAGGCAATCAGCCTGTGGCACTGCTGAGGTGTTATGGAGGCCCAGGATGCTCCGATAGCGGCCTTAAGCTCATCCAGAGTGTTGGGTCTTGCATCTCTCAACTTTCTCTTCACAATATCCCACAGATTCTCTATGGGGTTCAGGTCAGGAGAGTTGGCAGGCCAACAGTAACACCATGGTCAGTAATACCAGTGGTTTTGGCACTGTGAGCAGGTGCCAGGTTGTGCTGAAAAATGAAATCTTCATCTCCATAAAACCTTTCAGCAGATGGAAGCATGAAGTGCTCCAAAATCTCCTGATGGCTGCTGCGTTGACCTGCCCTTGATAAAACACAGTGGACCAACACCAGCAGCTGACATGGCTCCGCAGACCATCACCGACTGTGGGTACTTGACACTGGACTTCTGGCATTTCCTTCTCTCCAGTCTTCCTCCAGACTCTGGTACCTTGATTTCCGAATGACATGCAACATTTTCTTTCATCCGAAAAAAGTACTTTGGACCACTGAGTAACAGTCCAGTGCTGCTTCTCTGTAGCCCAGGTCAGGCGCTTCTGCTGCTGTTTCTGGTTCAAAAGTGCCTTGACCTGGGGGATGCGGCACCTGTAGCCCATTTCCTGCACACACCTGTGCACGGTGGCTCTGGATGTTTCTACTCCAGACTCAGTCCACTGCTTCCGCAGGTCCCCCAAGGTCTGGAATCGGCCCTTCTCCACAATCTTCCTCAGGGTCCGGTCACCTCTTCTCGTTGTGCAGCGTTTTCTGCCACACTTTTTCCTTCCCACAGACTTCCCACTGAGGTGCCTTGATACAGCACTCTGGGAACAGCCTATTCATTCAGAAATTTCTTTCTGTGTCTTACCCCCTTGCTTGAGGGTGTCAATGATGGCCTTCTGGACAGCAGTCAGGTCAGCAGTCCGACCCATGACTGCGGTTTTGAGTAATGAACCAGGC